AACTTTGGCTATCTCAATATGTCTTCGGGTCTCAGCGTCGGACTTTTATTCTTCTGTTAGAACACACCCCAGTCAGATTAACGCTGTATAACATTTTGATAAGACGGTCATAGAAAATGTTTCGCTATTCTGTAGAAAATTGTCTTTTATTATTTCATCGAAAAAAAAGCCTGTGGAGTAGCAAGATGTTCATTAAAATAATCTCGCGGACCAGTCGGTTTGTGTAATGAACCCGATTTTTACTGGCTAAGTTTAATAAATATGCAAAAAGAAGTTAGTTTTTGATTCAAAGTTGAGATAAACGACTGCTATCCTAACCTAAATCAGATTGATTATTGTAATCTGTTCGGTTCGATTTCTGGAATTATGAGTTCAACGGCTGGTTTCCAACATTTGTCACTTCACAACTCAAAAGAGATAAAAAGAGAATGGAGTCGTCCGGAAAAATCAATATGACGCCAATAGATGTTGCTACTACTACTAATAATAATAAACTACCAAACTAAATAAGAAGACTTCCAAAAGTTTTCAATTATAGATCCATAAAAATCTGTTCAACAGTACATGACAATGAATCTCTCTCTATGTGATATGCCTCTTCACAAAGTAGTCGGACGCGATTCTCCACGACTTCATATCTTTTATAGCGCTCAGGCATATATGATTTTTGTCATATTCACTCTTGGGATAGTTTCGCCTTAAAAAAATGCAAATTTCTACACTGCCCAAATATTTCGCCTGTGGAACACCCTTCCCTATTCCAGTTTCCCTGAGAGCTATAACCTCCAAGTATTCAAATGTAATGTCAATCGACATCTCCAGTTGCCTTGATCTATCCACTATCCTTCTCCTTATCCTTTCCTCTATCACTCCTATCTGATGTTGCTCCATATCTTCTGTAACCCCTTGCGTCCTATCGGGGTTTCCGCCTTCCTTGGGGTGAAACGCTTAAAACAAAATAGCCAATCAGAGCAAGACTTTCAAACCGATGCCATACATGGTGTGATACTCGTTATGTTTATAAGTATACCATCCGTCCCAGCACTCAATCTTGCTGTCACAACTGATCTACTGCTTCTACTATGTATTTAGAGATTCTGCAATGTTAGTGGTCCTGACCTGCAATCTCGGCTTCAGCCACATTAGCCCAGCCGTAGCGTAGCTTCCCTGAGACTTTTCCACATACATGGTAATTGTTCTGAGTTTTCCTCTTTGTTACCTAGAATTGTACAACTAGATTGGCAGCAAGGTATCATCATTGTACATTTGAAATGACTTATGTAACGGCAGGTTCTACATAAACAGTCTCTATTCTCGCACTTCCCAAGTGTGGAACTATCTTCCAGTTTCTTGCTTTCCAGTTAAATTTGATCTAGTATGAAATATCAAGTACATACATGTTAAAACCTTGTCCACATTTATTTTTCCACGCGTTCAATCCCTGATATTAAGCACTTTTATCTCTCTCCATATATAGCCGAAAGCTTAGATTATATTAAAAAAATATGGATCAATATTGTGAATTTCTTTCTTCGTTTAATGATAATGTTATCAAACTTATCAGATGTTACGAACAAATTTTACATAAAATAAATAGACAACACTTGTCTATATTATTTAATGAAACGTGTATAAATATATATATATATATATATATATATATATATATATATATATATATATATATATGAAAAATTTCTCAGAGTTAACCTGTAGAAAATGACAATATTTATAAATGTAAAAGACAATAGTAAAACTGTAATAGTTACCGACGCGTTTCGTCCGATGTGGACTTTTCAAGGCAAAACGAAATTAATTTATTAAACAAAGTAACTATTAATAACAAAAACAAAATGTCCTTAGAAACTGGAAGAATTTAGAAAACGCTATTTTCATACTGTTAACTGAAAATTACGTCTATTACTGTCACGTGTGGAGATATTGTTTTTATTGCTGTGTTGACGGATTCAACCATTTCCTTTTGATTTCTTCATACTGTTCTGTACTTTTGTTTGGGAAAGTAGTAATTTTGTTCAGAAAGGTGAACTAGAGAAAAAGCCTGGGCGTAGATTAAAATTTGGGTAATATTCAATGGCGGCACTCTCGAGGATTTTCAGATTGCGTTTTCAGACCGAAGGCAGCCGAGTCAGTTACACTTTGATGCTGTTGATCGTCGCGAGGCTGAGGCAGGATCCGTGGCACCACAAACAATGGATCAAGGAAGATCGTTCAGTGAATGATATTATAGTCTGATCTCTGCCCAATGTCGAGAAAGTGGAGAAAAAGTACGGTGTTTCTGTCAATGATAATGCAATCTGATCTCTGCCCAATGGCCAGAGTGTGGACAAATGTACTGGCTTTTGGGTCAATCAAAGTTGAATATTTTCTGATTATTCTTAATCTACAATCTATACTGGAAGCAAGCCGTCTGTATAAGAATAGAAAATGAATTCTGTAGATATTCAAAAATAGAAACTGGTGTCAATAAAGATGTCTTCTCACCGGACTTAGTCAACCTAAACAGTAAGGCGATTCTGAGTGAATTAGATGTCCTGTCAGGATACATTATTTGGCGCCCGCAATGTTAACAACATAAGGTATATAGTGATTTTCCAAGCGTAGCTTAGATGTGGCACAAGGCCGGAAGTATGGGGCACCCAGTGAGGATCGAACTCACTACTCATTCGTAATTGTTCTAGCGAGACAAGCCTGCTAACCATTACACCACATCGAGGTGCCGAACAACATAAGGTCTATATATGACATACTGTTGATAGCTGACACAGAAAGGAAACTCCAAAAACTTCTACAGAATGAAGCGAGAAGAAATTATTAAACATTATTGAAAGAATGCATGATTGTTAGCAAAGGGAAGAGCAAATTGGAGATACCAAAATCAAACAAGTTAAACAATTTAAATATCTACCAAGTCTTTTGACAGGGAGTGGAAATTGGGGCAGTGAAATCCGAAGGCGCATGGAGATAGAAAAGACGCCTTTCAAAATCTAAGCAATGTATTAAGAAATGGGAAAATTTCGTTAGAAACGAAGAAAAGATTACTGAATTCCTACGCAATATCTGCTCTTCTATGGCACATTAAAAGTTGGACAATCTCCTGACAAATGAAAAAGTGGCTAGAAAGAAAGAAATACGTAGTTCTACAGAAGGATGCTGAGAATACCATGGGACGAACATGTGAGTAATGACGAAGTTTTAGAGAAAATGGAAATAAAAAGAAGACTTACACTTAACATGAGAGAGAGACTTGGAATTTCTAGGGTACATAATGAGGAGAGACGGCTTAGAAAATTTGATACTCGCAGAGGAAAATAACGCATAAACTATGAAGCGAGTACATAGAAGAAGTGGAGAGCCATGATCGCCTACGTTCTGAAGGGACAAGTGACATAGAAGAAGAATGAGTGGAACAGGGTTTAAGAGAAATAACGAAAAGACAAAATTTATTAAGAGTGACAAAGGGCAGGAGATTGTGGAGAGCCATGATCGCCTTATTTCCTGAAGGGACATGACTCATAGAAGAAGAATGAGCTTGAGTAAATGGATAGTTGAACACGGCTCAGGAGAGATAACAAAAAGACAAATGTATTGAGAGGCACAAAGGACAGGAGATTGTGGAGAGCCATGATCGCTAACGTCCTGAAGGGACACGGCATATAAATGAAGTAGGTTGATTCTGAGTAAATGGATGACGGAATAAAGTTTAGGAGAGATAACAAAAAGACAAGATTAACTAAGGGCTACAAAGGACAGGAGGTTGTGGAGAGCCATAATCGCTAACACCCTGCAGGGACAAGGCAAATAGAAGAAGAAGAAGAATGAGTCTAAGTAAATGGATGGCGGAACAGGTTTTAGGAGAGATAACAAAAAGACAAAATTTATTAAGAGCGACAAAGGACAGGAGATTGTGGAGAGCCATGATCATTAACGTCCTGAAGGGACACGGCATATAAAAAAAGAAGGGTGAGACTGAGTAAATGGATGGCGAAATAAAGTTAAGGAGATATAACAAAAAGACAAGATTAATTAAGGGCTAGAAAGGACAGGAGATAGCGGAGAGCCATGATCGCTAACGTCCTGAAGGGACACAGCATATAAATGAAGAAGTATGATTCTGTGTAAATGGATGGCGGAATAAAGTTAAGGTGAGATAACAAAAAGACAAGATTAATTAAGGGCTAGAAAGGACAGGAGATAGTGGAGAGCCATGATCGCTAACGTCCTGAAGGGACACAGCACATAGAAGAAGAAGAATGAGCCTGAGTAAATTAATGACAGTACAGAGTTTAGGAGAAATAACGAAAAGACAAGGTTTATTAAGGGCTACAAAGGAAAGGAGATTGTGGAGTGTCATGATCGCTTACGTCCTTAAGGGACACGGCACATGGAAGAAGAAGAATGAGCTTGAGTAAATGGCTAGTTGAACAAGGCTTAGGAGAGATAACAAAAAGAGAAAAGGAAATTGTGGAGAGCCATGTTTGCCAATGTCTTGAAGAGATACGGTACATAGAGGAAAGAAACAGTTAATCATTAGAATTCCCGGGGGCTTCGCCTTCGTATATAATACGCATGACTAATTTTAGCTATTTTGGGAGGAGAGGTGTTCGGCATATTCAGTCAAAGCCGTTAAACGTGGCCACTAGATTTTAATCTCACAGTCGTTGTTGCTGAAAAGGTAATATTTTTGTTGTGACCCAGCGTCACTGACACTGACTTTAATAACTGAGAATCAATTGGTAAAACATTTTTCTATGCACATAACTTTAAATCATTGATCATAAAACTGTCTGGTCATAATTCAATAACAAGAAAAGCTAGAAAAAAAAAAGATTTATAAACATGGATGAGAGAAAAAATAATTTTATAAAAAAGCAGATAAAAATACAAGAGAATTTAAATGGCGAATGAAAGGAAAAACAAAAATTCGACACAATGTATCAACAGAAAAAACAGTTTAATCCAATCTTTCGTACATTAACCAGCCCGCAACTCTCTCCCTCTCTCTCTCTCTCTTTCTCTCTTTCTTTCTTTCACTCTTTTTTCTCTCTCTCTCCTTCTCTCATTCTTGCTCTTCCTCTTCCTTTCACTCACCATTTCCTTCTCTCTCTTTCTTTCTCTTTCTTTCGCTTTTTTCTTTCTATTTCTGTCCTTTTCTCTTCCTAATTTATTTTCTAGTCCGTCCTTTTTTTTTTCCTATCCTTTCTCTATCTTTCACTTTCTGATTCTTTCTTTTCTTTCCTCTTTTTTCCTCCCATTTTCTTCTTCATTTTCTCTTTTACTCACGCTCTCTGAATTTTTCTTTTTCCTCTTTCTCTCTTTTTCTCTGTATATTGCTGTTTCTCATTTCCTTTCCCGACTTCTCCTTTTTCTCTCTCTCTCTCTCTCTCTCTCTCTCTCTCTCTCTCTGGATTTAACTACTTCTTTTTTCCTTCTCGTTTTCTCTTTCGTTCACTCTGTCTTATTTTTGTTTCTCTCCTTATCTTTCTTTCTATCTATCCGTCTCTTTTCTTTCTATCTTTCTATCTCTCACTTTCCCTTTCTCTTTCCTTTCCTCTCTTACTTTTCTTTCTTTAAATTTCCCACTTTCCCTTTTTCTCTCTCATTTTCTTTTTTTCTTTCTTCATTCATTCTTTCTTTCTTTCTTTCTTTCTTTCTTTCTATTTCTCTCTGTCTAATTCTCTTCTCATTTGTCTTTCCCTCACTCCCTTTATGTTTCTCTAGCTTATTTCTTTTACTTTTACTTTTTCTCTTTCACTACTCCATTTCTCCATTTTCTTTTCGTTTTTCGATTTCTATTTTTCATTCTCTCTCTTTTTCATTTTCTTGCATTCTCTTTCACCCTTTCTTTCTTTCTTTCTTTCTTTCTTTCTTTCTTTCTTTCTTTCTTTCTTCCCTCTCTTTTTCTTTCGCTTTTTTCACTCTTTCTCCATATATATAATTTTATTTCTATATCTCTCTTTCTTTTTCTCTCTCTTTGTGAATATTCCCACATTCTAATACATAAAAAAGAATGTCTGTCGTGATTAAAAGTAAGATCTATACACTTGAGTCACAAGCCAATTAATCAATGTTTCTTCAAATTTCAGTTTTATTTTGACTCTTTTTCATTTTACACTCAATTTCGCCTTCCGAATAAAATATTTGTATAGAACAAATTTCATGCCGGTTTTTGCTTATTTTGATGAGTTGCTTTTTTTCTGTCTTTTTTTTTTTCTTTTTCGTATAAAGCAGTCATGAGCAAATCGCGGACCCCCGGGCCACATGCCGCCCGTCTGGTCTTTCTGAATGAACGCTAAATTTCATAAGGAAAATAAAGTTTCTTAAAATGATTGTCTTGTTTCGTTCTCACTTGTTCCCTCACACACTCTCTCATACATAACCACATACATAAACAATGGTTAATTACAATGTTTCTTGAATTTTGTAAACTTTCGGGGAAAGCAACGTTGTGTGCATTTTAAGCCATTGGCAATTTTCACTAAGGAAGATCATACGTGTAAACATCTTTTGACTTTAATACAGGAAACATTAATAAGAATTTTTCTCTAAAGAAGAAATGTTTTCATTTTCAAATGAATAAATTAGAAATAAATCACCCGCAGAGACATGTTTTAATCTCACTGTCATCAGTAATAATATTAGATCAAGACTTTCTAAATTTCTAAGAAAAACAAATTTACCTCGCATGTCTAAGGTATATTTATTACACATATGGTCTTCTGTAGGGGAAATAGCTGCAGTAACTACAACGAAAATTTACTTTGAATCTTTTTCATAGTATGACACGCCTTGTGATAAGGCCCACTGATCAAAGAATATTGCTCTAGGGTCAACCGTTATCTATCATACATATCCTCAAAATTAGAACAAAACTTTGATTAAATCAAATAAATTTTTTTTAGTACTTATTCACATTCTTTTTTGTGTATGATACACCTAATTTACATAAACGGACTACCGACCATATAAATATGGGTTGTACCGAAGACAAAGATAGTAATTAAGAAATTGCTCTAGAGGCTCAACCGACTATCTTTATCAACCCATATCCTTCCCAAAATTACCAAACTAACTGTAAATTTGATTAAATCAAACAAATCTTTTGTTTTATTATTCCATGCTTATTTATTCAATTCTTTTCTTTCTTGTTTTTTTTTTTTTTAATTTTTTTCATTCACTTTCCCACACTTACAGAAATATATAAACCATTTCATTAGTAGGTATTTCTATCTAGGAAGGTGATCATATACCCAGAAAGGATTCAAAACAAGACAAGTCAAAGGGTGGATGAATCGTGTAAGGTCTAAGCCAGTCATGGGCAAACTGCCGCCCTGGGTCACATGTGGCCCGTCTGGTCTTTCTGAATAAACACTAAACTTCATAAGGAAAATAAGGTTTCTTCAAATGGTTGTTTCCTTTCCTTCTCACTTGTTCACTCACACACTCTCGCATAGATAAACACAAACATAAACAAGGATTAATTACAATGTTTTTGAATTTTCAAAAATTTCGAGAAAATACCATTGTAAACCATAGGCGATTTTCACTTTTGCTTTTGAAACATTCATGAGAACCATTTCTCTCATGTTTTTCATTTTCAAATGAATAAATTAGAAATGAATCAGACGCCGCGATATGTTTTAATCTCACTAAGACATTTTTTATATTTATACGTTCTTTTTTATAGATACAAATATTTAAGTAAATTTTCTGTTTATAATAAACAGTATTAACAATCTCTACTGACCTGAATGTCTGAAAGATTTTCATGATCAACAAACCTTTCACAAAACTTCAATACCGTAGCCCCGTTATTATTCATCTCCACCCTACAAATCCTTGCCATCGTAATAAGCTGTTCCTTACTTTTCAGAAATCATTCGTAAATTTTTCTACCTTATTTTCGATTATTCCGTGTAAATACTTCTAGCATAATTTTCAGACACCCCTCGTAAAATGTGTACCTTATTTATCGGACATCCCTCGTAAGTATTTTTAGGTTACTTTTCGGGCATCCTTCATAAATATTAGTAGCTTACTTTTCGATTAACCTACATAAATGCATTTAGCTTACTTTTCAGACATCGCTCGTAAAATTCTGTAGCTTACTTTTCGGACTTCCCTTGTAAATATTTGTACCTTAATTTTCGGACATGCCTCGTAAATATTTGTACCTTACTTTGCGATTAATCCACGTAAATCTTTTTGGATTTAATTTTCAGACACCGCTCGTAAAAATCTGTGACTTACTTTCCGGGCATCACCCATAAACGTTTGTACCTTACTTTTCGATTAACACACGTAAATGCTTTTGGCTTACTTTGCTGACATCGCTCGTAAAATTATGTATTCTATTTTTTAGACATCCCTTGTAAATATTTGTACATTAATATTCGGACCCCCTCATAAATATCTGCACCTTATTTTTCGATTAACAAACGTGAATACTTTTGGCTTAATTTCCAGACATCGGTCGTAAAATTATGTACCCTACTTTTCAGACATCCCTTGTAAATATTTGTACCTTACTTTTCGGGCATCCCTCATAAATATCTGTACCTTACTTTGCGATTAACCTATTAAATCTTTAGGCTTACTTTTCAGACATCGTTCGTAAAATTCTGTACCTTGTTTTTCGGGCACCACTCATAAAAATGTGTACCTTACTTTTCGATTAACCTACGCAAATGATTTTAACTTACTTTTCAGGCATGCCTGGTAAAATTCTGTACAATACTTTTCGGGCGTCGCTCGTAAATATTTGTAGCATCCATCTTTATTATTTGTATATGACTTCTCGTACATCTGTTGCAAATAATTAACCTTAATTTTCGAACAGCAATTTCTTCTTTTTTGTTCATGCGTGTTCACCCCAAGCAAGGCAGTAAAGCCACTAAGACATAAGGGGTACTAAACAGAAAACAGAAACATTACTAAGCATTAAGACCAAAACAGAAACATTACTAAGGATCGAGAACAACAGAAGTGTAATCAGGAGGACAGTAGATAGCGATTGACATCGCATTTCAGTTTTTGAAGATCAAAGTTGGCTGGAAAGCATGGAGCAGGAAAAGAGTTCCACAAGTGAGAAGTGCGAGAAAGAGACTATTAACATAGAACTTACAGTTGCATCTACCCAATTTAACTGTAAATTGACGACGCCTTGTCGCCAAACTAGTACTACGTTTAATCTCTCTGTACCATAAAGAAGCGCTTATCTGAACAAATATCATGAAAGTATTTATAGAAAAGACATATGGAGGCAACTATACGGCATTGGGAAAATGACTGAAGCCGAGATGCCAGTCCAAGACCAATAAGATTGCTGATTCTTTAGATTTTATCAAGGATCTCTAAATATATAGCAGGCGCTCCAGACCATATGTGGCAGATGTTTGTCGCATACGTTTTGGACAGCGCTTCTAAATTTACCTTCTTTTCGCAATTCTATCGTAAATATTTGGCCTTTCTTTTTCGAATATTCCTTGTAAATGTTTCAGAGTTTCTTTTATGAATATTCCCTCGTGTCTCTGCATGAGATCAATTCTTTGCAATTTATCAATGTTGTTTGTTTCAAATGTGTTTTCCCTTCACTACATATTAATCTCTGCCATGAGATTTGACTATGTTCCTTTAACTACTTCAATTTTTAGCTTGTTAGTCTATATAAATAAAAGGATGCGCTAATTAAAACAAATATAACGTCTACATGATTTCTTATCAGAAAGAAACAGAGATAAAAGCAATTTATTTGATGCATTGTTCCGAATAAAGTAAATATTATTCATGTTGAAAATTCCAGTTGAAAGTTTCAGTTTTGATTTCTGCAAAGTAAGCATGTCATTATCTTATTTCTTTTATTTATTTTTTTAATCCTTTCAAACCAAGCAAGACAATAAAGCCACTAAGACGCAAGGGCATACTGAGTGTTAAAGAATATCTGAAAAAATACTATTAAGAAAAGAGAATAATAAAAGAACAAGAATTAATAAGACAGAAAATATCGATTGAGATTCCATTTAAATTTTTGAAGATCAAACTTGATTGGAAAACAAGAAGCCGGGACATAGTTCCACAAGCAAGAAAAGAATCAGTTAGCAAAGAACTCACAGATACTTCCTCCCAATTCAACTGTTAAAATGATGAGACCTATCCGCCAATCTAGTACTGCGCTTAAATTCATAAAGTCCAGTTACAACAGAGCAAAGGTCTTGTGAATAATTACCATGAAAGTATTTATAGAAAAGGTACAAGGAAGCTACCTTACGGCGATGGGAAAATGACTAAAGCTTGGATACATAGTCAGGACCGATAACACTGCAGATTCTTCTTGGGATTTTATCAAGAATCTCTAAATATATGGCAGAAGCAGCAACGTAGATGTAGCAGCAATATTCAAAATATAGATGTTTGATACAACAAAGAAGAAAGGTCTCTTTTGAAAGGACGACATGCTCCTCATTCTCTCTCACTCCCAGTAACTTCAGGGGATAACGGCTCGGATTGAGGAATCGGAGAGCCGAGTTCGAACTCAAGTTGAAGCCACTACATTCACTTATGTGCTAATACTTTTGGGAAAGGTATGACTCCTCTTCTTCTCCCCCAGATATGGGTAAATGGCAAGATAGACCGTGTTCTATAGCCTTTGATGGCAACTGATCTACCGCAAAAAAAAATGGCAAACTACTGCCTCGTCAGTCATGTATCGAAAGGTCAGGAAAGGTTGTGGAGAGCCATGATCGCTAATGTCCTGAAGGGACACGGCACATAGATTAAGAAGAATGAGCTTGAGTAAATGGATGGCGGTACAAAGTTTAGGAGAGATAACAAAAAGACTAAATTTATTAACAGCTACAAAGGACAGGAAGTTGTGGAGAGCAATGATCGCTAACATCCTGAAGGGACACGACACATACGAGCAAAAAAATGTGCTTGAGT